GAGCTTACTACCTCTTGAGAGCGAGTATGATTGCACGAGGGTTCTAGAACTGAGAACGTTCAGAGTCACAGGTGGAAGAGGTTATCTTCCAGCTGCTGCTCCACCCCTTTATATAGTCGCAGACCTATAGTCTGGGGTACTAGTACAAGGGGTCTCCTACAGCTATTCATAGAGTAAATGAAATAGACTGAGACAAATACTAACTGCTGCGAGCCAAGTAATTGGCGAGCTAATGTTAGTACAGGTGAAATAGAAACCTGAAACACGAAGGTCTAGTTTGCATGGCCTGAGTGAGTAAATCGTAAAAACAAAAACTGCTAACCCTAGCATATGTCCACAAGACCTATGAACCATAAATAGTAAGTGTCACGTGCAACGTAAACTGCCACGTGACCATGAAGCGCTGAAACTGTAACACTACCGCTATGCGAATGAAGGAACGATTAAGGACGCCTATCCACTCCCACTCATATCGGACCTAATGGATCGACTCCGCCATGCCAAATATTTTGCAAAACTTGACATTCGTGGAGCATATACCAATGTCCGAATTTGTCAGGGAGATGAGTGGAAGGCTGCCTTCATCACCAAGCGTGGATTATTTGAAACCCACGGTCATGTTCTTCGGAATGTGTAATGCACCGGCAACCTTTCAGCGAATGATGAACGAAATATTCGCATAAGAAATTGCCGAAGGGTGGCTACTATGCTATCTGGATGATATCCTCATCCTTGCCGAAAGCGAAAAGGAGTTGGAAAAGAAGCTTGAACGAGTCATTAAGAAAATGGTCGACAATGATCTCTATCTCAAGCTGGAGAAATGTGTGTTCAAAACTATGTGCACTGACTTCCTAGGACTAGTTCTCCTCCCAGGATGACTTCAAATGAATCCAGCAAAAGTCAATGGAATCATCAAATGGGAAGCTCCGACTGGTGTAAAAGGAGTGCGAGCATTTCTAGGATTCACCAACTTCTATCGAAAGTTCATCCGGAACTATTCTGAAATCGCAAGACCCTTAATTGATCTTACCAAGACCAAGGGCGGGAATGTGTTCCATTGGACAAGCAAAGAACAAGCCGCCTTCAACTATCTCAAAAACGAGTTCGGCAAGGCACCAATACTGGTTATGCCAGACAAAGACAAGCCTTTTGTCATCGAAACTGATGCATCGGACTTCGCTACAGGAGCAGTTCTCATGCAGAAGGACGATAATGGCGACCTCCATGCCTGCGCATATTATTCCAAGTCGCTCTCCGATCTGGAACGAAATTATCAAATCTACGATAAGGAGCTTCTAGGAATCATCCGCGCACTCAAAGAGTGGAGACACTATCTTGACGGAACAAAGGAACCATTCCTCATACGCACAGATCACAAGAATCTGACATACTTTCGGCAGCCGCAGGACTTGAACCCAAGACAGCGAAGATGGCAACTCTTCTTGTCTATGTTCAATTACAAGATTGTCCATACACCAGGACGACAAATGGTGCAAGCGGACGCGCTTTCACGATTGTCCGAATTAGACAATCGACAGAATAACAAGTCACCTGCAATCCTGCTACCGGACGATCTCTTTATTGGTGCTATCGATACAGATATGGCGGAACAAATCCGACAAGCACTGACAAAAGACCCATCAGTACTTGCGTACAAGGACGGCCTAATGGAAGAACTCCCAGTTCCACGAGGAATGACAAAGGACGACATCAAGGATGCTGACAACGGTTTAATCACCATCCATGGACGCGTATATGTCCCAAACAATACAGCCTTAAAGAAGGAAATTGTTCGACGATATCATGAGGCCACTCCCCATGGTCATCCAGGAATCTGGGTTATGCACCAACTAGTGCGCAAAGACTTCTGGTGGCCAGGAATGTATCACTTCATCCAAAGTTACGTCAATGGATGTGCCGTATGTCAGCAATCCAAAGCTGTTCGAAACAAGGCCAAAGTTTCACTGCAGCCCATCGGTCCTTCGCCCAATGCGCTACCTTTCAAGCAGGTTAGCATGGATTTTATTACAGATCTACCGAAAAGCGAAGGCTTCGATTCAATTATGGTCGTGGTAGACCATGGGCTTAGTAAGGGGTAATTCTATGTCCCTGCAAGAAGACGATCACTGCCTCGGAAACTGCCGAGCTATTCAGACGACAAGTTTGGAAATGCTTTGGGCTACCCGACAAGATCATCTCTGACCGAGGAACGCAATTCGCATCCAAAGTATTCCAAGTGCTGTGCACTGCGCTCAAGATCAAGTCAGCTATGAGCACAGCCTATCATCCGCAGATGGATGGTGAAACGGAGCGAATGAATCAAGAATTGGAAACATATCTTCGAATGTACTGTGTGGAGCAACCGCATCAATGGAATCAATTCCTATCCAAAGCAGAGTTCGCGCACAATCTTCACACTCATTCAGTGACAAAGAAGTCACCATTTGAAATATGGTATGGCTACGAGCCCCGAGGAATGCCAGAACTGTTTCCTCAGGACGAGATCCCCGACGTGGATGCAAGACTCAAGCTTCTCAGCATGGTCCACAAGGAGGCCATAGAAGGAATCGTCAAGGCAAAAGCCCGTGTATCCGCCAGGATCAAAGGAGGATCTCCGACGTTCAAGAAAGGAGACAAGGTTTGGCTGGAAGCCACCAATTTGAAAAGGCCTTACAAATTGAACAAGCTAGCACCGAAGCGAGAAGGACCATTCAGGATCAAGGAGGTTCTGGGACCACTCTCATTCAAGTTAGATCTTCCGACAACATGGAAGATCCATCCGGTGTTCCATACTGCATTGCTCACGCCGTATCGGCAGACCAATACACATGGGGAAATTTATTCAACACTGCCTCCAGACCTTATCAAAGGAGAGGAAGAATTTGAAATTGAGTCTATAATTGGACATCGACTACGGCACAGCAAGAACGAATATCTGGTAAAATGGACCGGATATCCACTTAGTGAAAGGTCGTGGGTAAAAGAGACAGAAATGGGCAATGCAGGAGAGATGCTGAACGAGTATAAAAGGGAGCACAACTTGGCCTGAACCCTCAGTCCATGCCCCAATGCCTGTGCAACATCCCGAGTTTCTCGAATCTGCTATCACCACTTTTGCGCATCTTATCGAAGTTCTCGAAGACGTCGAATCCCACTCCTCCCACGATCATCGTTACCAGGTCTTCCAACAACTCGGAGTCTATCTCGCTATCAGAGGGGCTGGATTCGCCATCGAGGATCTTGCCGACTTTGACCATACCAACGTTGAGTTCAACACGACCCATCCAAACCATGATGGACCATCTCATCCAGAGAGCGGACGACATCCACGAAGTCCACCTCCTGGATGACTTCAGGTCAACTCGACGACAGCCATATCTAACCCCTCGCCCCAGCGGGTTAATCAGAATTTTTTATCTGTTTCCATTCCAAACAGACAAGCCGAAGGTAACACTAGAGGACGACGTCAATATCGACCTAGACGGAACATGGGGAACGTTCATGAGAATGAATTACCCAATGTACCTAATGAAGGAACTCCACCTGCCCCGGCTAGAGCCAGATCGACGCTGGACTATCCTAACAGCCGTCTACGCCGGCCTTCCAGTGGGAATCCTCCCACCATCGTATGCTCTAGATCATCTGCTACAATTTGATATCTTACCGGCAGCACTCTCATTCGCTCTGGATGCATTCAGTGTCATACACGGTACCGTATCAAGGACAATGACAATACCAGTGGAAGAACGTACGGGAATGGCGAACATCCACATCACGGACTGGTATGAAGAAGAAGAACGGCTGCTCGAAGGTATAAGTAGCGGTCCTCCTTTCCCCCTATTGGACCATCACCTCCTCCTACTCGAGTGGGAACTCTATGAGGAAATCTACCCTTGAGATAAAGAGAATCGCCCCGCTCTACCACCTCCACCAATGTCACTCAACATCCGTGTCACCACCACTGTCACTCGCAGCGCATCGGAGCCAGGACTACTTCTCGACAGCGATGGAGATGAACTACCGCTGCTAGGCAACATTAGTGACGAAGCACTGGCTGAATCATGGAGGAGTGCATGATGGGAAGACGATGAAGACGTGACAGGTCGTTGGACGACGGGAGGATCTTGGACGATGGGGAGAGCCTGGGGTGAAGACGATGAACAGGCAAGGAATGCCGATGATGAACAACCCAGCTACCCCCACCGTCCTGGTGCCACCTATCCCTACAATGACCCACCGGAGGACGGATCGCAACCTGCACCAGCTGTCACCATCAAGGAGCAGATAAGGTATGCTTGGATGATCAAATCTTCGAGCAACCCAGCGGCAGGACAGGTATCGCTCATCGCCCCAGACGTAGCATCACCCTACGATGTCTTCATCACCACGCCACTGACATTCCTAATGGAATGCGATGGTCATCGTCTCTACGTCCATCATACAGGCACGGGCGACTTTGCCACCTTCCATGCCTTCGTCTTCACTTGGGACAACCAGAAGGTCGCATGGCACCTCTACTCGGAAGACTCACCTCATCGCGTCTTCAGTCAATGGGTCACTCTGCTCTATCTGCCACCCATTCCAAGCATGCACAATTGGTATCCAACACCCAACAGGATGCGTATCATCAGCGTTCACTTTGCGGATAAGGAAGAAGGCGTTGAACAATACGAGGTCGAACTTTTCAGGACGTTCTCCGATCAAGTCCACTATGGAGACACCAAGACACCTCGTGAGTTCACGCCGGTCATCTTCCAACCCCTTGTTGCCATGATTGAGCAGCCTGGATGGCTCACCGACGGCGTCGATGCACTGAAGGCAGTCCTTTATGAAGACGGATCCATCTCGCACTGGGCACCCACCGAGTTCCATCCTCAACCCCAAGAGGATCTCGATGAGGAATGGGAGGTCGTACCTCATACTACCGTCCCAGTCTACGACTATGTAGGTGTCCGCGGCAAACGATGAGGGGTTAGTTTGGTGAGTGGTCATCAAGGGTCTTGCCGGTTGGAAGGGGGAGCTTGTGTTACAGTTTCAGCGCTTCATGGTCACGTGACAGTTTACGTTGCACGTGACACTTACTATTTATGGTTCATAGGTCTTGTGGACATATTCTAGGGTTAGCAGTTTTCGTTTTTACGATTTACTCACTCAGGCCATGCAAACAAGACCTTCGTGTTTCAGGTTTCTATTTCACCTGTACTAACATTAGCTCGCCAATTACTTGGCTCACAGCGGTTAGTATTTGTCTCGGTCTATTTCATTTACTCTATGAATAGCTGTAAGAGACCCCTTGTACTAGTACCCCAGACTATAGGTCTGCGACTATATAAAGGGGCAGAGCAGCAGTGGGAAGACTAACCTCTTCCACCTGTGACTCTGAACGTTCTCAGTTCTAGAACCCTCGTGCAATCGTACTCGCTCTCAAGAGGTAGTAAGCTCGTACGCTTGCTAGAGTCAGAACAGCGAACCTAGTAACCTGCGGGTGAACGTGCAGTAGCTGTAGCGGCCAAGGCCTAGCAAGGGTAGAGTGAGGACCTCACTGCTACATCGTCTACTAGGCTTGACCACACTATAAACCCTGCTAATAGTCTGCCTGACTATTGGAGACGTTAGGTATATTTGGTATCTAAGTCTTTGTCCACGTTGTGGACTAGTACGTGTGAGAAAGCACACGTGGTTCTGAACGTTCTAGCAGGGAACGCTTCATAACACCTTTGACTTTAGCAGGGTCCATCTGTACTGAGTTCTTGCTGATGATCATGCCAAGATACTCGATTGAGGACTGTTCAAAGAAGCATTTCTCCGGTTTGGCATATAAGTCACTGTCCCGGAGGCGCTGTAGAACTGCTTTTACTAGTCGTCAGTGTTCATTGAGATCGTCTGTAAATATGAGGATGTCGTCTAAGTAGACTACCACCTTTCCAGTGCGAATCAAGTCTTCGAGGACCGTATTCATCATTGTTTGGAAGGTGCTAGGAGCATTGCAGAAACCGAAGTACATTACGGTGGGTTCGAAGAGGCCACGATGTGTAATAAAGGCAGCTTTCTCTTCATCCCCTTCCCTAATCCTTATGTTGTTGAACCCCCATCTCAGATCAAGCTTCGTAAATATACTAGCATGTGAGAGCCTGTCAATGAGGTCCGAAATGCATGGGATTGGGAACTTGTTCTTCTTTGTAACTGCGTTGAGGTTCCTGTAATCTTGTACGAGCCTCAGTGATCCGTCTTTCTTTTTGACAAAGAAGATGGGTGCTGCGGTTGGACTCCTTGATCTCTTGATGTAACCTTTGGCCAACTCTTGGTCTATCCACGTGTCGAGCGAATTTCTTTCCTGTAGGTTCATAAAATATAACTTTGCCGGGTGTGGTAATGATGCCTCTGGAACAAGTTCGATTGGATGATCGTAGGGCTTTCTTGTGGGCATTCGTTCCGACTGCTTCTTGGAGAACACATCGCCATACTCGTGGAAGTGTTTGGGGACATAGGCTGACCAGTAGTCTTTGTCCTGTTCTCCTTTTTGCGGTGCTCTATCCTGATTCCTCTTGGTGTCAAGACCCATAATAAGAGATGCTACGGCTTGTGCATCAGGGTCTTCTGATAATGACACCCATCTAATGAAGCTGTCCATGTCATTCCAGTTGTCACCTAACTCCTGGGAACTGACGAACTCCATCAGGTCTTTGATGTGGGGGATGTTTGTGTCTTTCAGGTCCTCCTCCTGGATTGCTACCTGTGAGGGTGTGCATCTTTGTGGGCACCGGGTGAAATCGACTGTGAGTTTTCCCCAATCCACTTCAGGATTATGCTCCTTAAGGAAACTCATGCCTAGTATAACGTCTTTATGTCCTATATTGGTGACCAAAAGGCTTTGCCTGCTTGTGTGGTTTCCGATGGTTATACTTAGAAGAACCCTTTTCTTAATGGTTCCACCCTTGTTATGAGATGCATCTGCATTGTAAACCCTGATCTCCTTCTCAAGTGAGATCGTAGCGAGATTCAACTGATCAACCAGCCGTGGGTTGATGTAGCAAGAATATGCTCCTGAATCGAGGAGCGCCTCAGTCTGGACTTCCCTTACTCCCTGTTTGAGGTGAACAGGTAAATCGATCATGTGTTTTGACGAACCAGTAGATGCGATGTATAAAAAACTTGATACTGGTACATGCGAGAGCGAGTAGGTACTATTACAGTGTCTATGGGAACTCTGGCCAGACCTCAGAGAACCCGCCGAAGAAAATCCTCATCATCTTCTACCTCCGTGATCCTAGCTGCTTCAACAGCTGGTTCCAGTTCTGCCTCCTTTTCCTTTCCCTTCGTGTCGTAGCTGGCGATGAAAGCACGGACTGCTTCGTATCTCGCCTTGCTGTTGTCAGAGATGTCTGAGGCCGTGTTTGAAGAAATTGCCCTTGTTGCTTGGCCCCACTTTGGCATTTCGAATTTGCCCTTGTACTTGGGGTCGGGGCATCGCTGTTTAAAAACGAAGGGGTGTTTCCCACATCGTACACACAGCTTCTTCTCCAGCCATCCTTCTTGCTCCTTGGTGAGGGTGGATACTCGATCCACGACCATTGCGTTGGGGTCTTTTGGGGTCCGTGGTGCTGATGATGATGTGGCTACTGTTCCGTGCTGTCCTGCCTTGTCAGCTCTGAACTTGGACTCTAATTGAAGACATAGATCGAGATATTCCGGCCACGTGATGGGGTCAGAAATTCCTAGGCTGTCTCGTGTGACCATTGCCTGGTGTACGTCCTTGCTTCGGTGTTCAGCGATGTAACCGATGAGTGCAGTGTGCTCTAAGTTGGTCTTAGTGGCCCATTGGCGGAACTGTTCTGCAAAGGATACCATTGTGGGATACGTCTTGCCGCAGATATCCTTTAAATGCTGCTGTGCATCCTTGTCCGGGTTGAGGGTCCTGTAGTTTACTTTGAGAATGTCGACGAAGTCTTCCCATGTGCCGAGTGCCTGCCGTGCTGCTGCCCTGGTTGCATATTCAGACATGTACGTGAGCGCGCCACCTTCCAAGTGCAGTAAGGCTGTGGTAATCTTGTGTTCATCGTTGTTGATCTCGTTCCACCGCATCCATATACCGAGTTGTTGGAGCCAGTCCTCCAGACTTCCTTTGCCCGAGTAGTGTGGAGGTTCAGCAATTTTGATGCATGGCTTGTTCAATTGGACCATGCCGGATGTTTGACCTTGCATCGTAGTGATGCCGCTTGCTTTGAGCGAAGCTAGCTCATGCCACAGCTTAACGTTAGCTGCCTTGATTTCCATCATTTCTTTGCCCATGTCAAGCATTGCTGCCTGGGTTCCCGTGAGCTTGTCATTTAAAACTGCCATATGCGCATCTTGCACAAGGATCCTATCCTTAAGCTTCCCGATCGCCGTCTGGAGAACTGCCTCCTTAAGTCGGTGTTCGCTTTTGTTGTTTTGGATCAGCGATTCAAAGGCTTTCTTGTGCTCGTACATTTTGTTTCTGAGCACATTGTAGACCTTGGCGATTTCGGTAGTGACTGTGAGCTTCATTGCAACGATTACCCATTCACGTATGTGGTCCGGAACTTCTTCGGGAGTGGACTGTCTGAGAGCATCTTCTAGGTGCTCGAATTGGTGTCTGTCAAACTCCCAGATGGGTGGAACGTAGGTGGGTACAAGTGACGGTGTCAGGGATGCTGGTCCTCTGACTTGTGATGCAGAGTCCTGCGGTCCTAGTGCAGGTTCTGGTGAATTGCGCTGCGAGGTGCGTGGGGTACTTCCATCGTGTGCTGACTCGATGTTTGTATGAAGAATGTCATCCATTTGTTGCCTGAACGTGGATGCGTGCATACGATCAGCTGACTCCATTGTGATATAGGTAAACTTAATACAAAAAGTGCAAATATCTCGCTTTCGAGATGAAGACCAGAGCCTTGGCGATTTCCTGCAGCCTCTCTTCCTTTCCTATCTGCTTGAAACTGATTCCTCCTATCTCCAGACAGACTTTGTTGATAACCTGCTTCTCGACGAATGTATATGTGCGCGTCCCTGTGTGTAGGTCGGCGCAGACTTTATCGAGCTCTGTGGCGAGGCTAAAGATGGGTCCTTGGTGCTCGTCCTTGAGACGATATGAGAATGCTCCTAGTATGGGTTGGAGCCTGAAGCGGGTAGCGTCTACCTGCTTCATAAGGGTCTCGATGTGGATCGTCAGCCTGACTCTGGAAGGGAGTGGGTGGATGGGACGTGCGATGGTGTTTGTCTTTATGAAGTTGGGTAGGGGATGAGTTGGAATGGGAGCAATGACGGGGGGAGGAACTGCGTTGGAGGTGATAAGCTCTGGGGGCAGTGCCGGCTTGCGACTACCAGTGGTAAGACGTCTCTTTCTGGGCTTGTAGCATTCGAGCGGTGGAGTGTGATCACATAGCTTGTGGATGATTCCGCGCTTTATGATGTGTGTGGTATCTACAACTCTAGCTGCTGCTCGCTGCCTGTCTGTGGACGATGCGCCTAGTAATGCAAATGTGAGGAGCCTTTCACGCTCCTTGTTGGTTTCCTGATGCTTGTAGTGGGCGTCGAGGTCAATTCTGGGGTGGCCTTGCGCTTTGAGGCTTTGAGCAGCTCAGAGTCTTGCTGAGGCTCACACTGGGTAGAGATCAGGTTGGAATGTGTGTCAAAAAAGCTGCGCGCTACGGCTGAAACTGCTTGTGCTGAAAATACGTGGCCGCTTGTGTTAGACACTAAGCAGGGGCGCAGAAAATGTCAGATTGTTTCTAATGTCACGGTAACACTGGACAAGAGATCAAAAAGACAAAAAGGGACAGTCACGTG